CCCAAACAGGAGTTAGTGACGTGGAGGCTTGTTTAGAAACTTAAACCTATTTAAAAAAGTGATTAACAAATAACTGTGCTAAGATTTAACTTTTCAAATCCAAAACATCCAGGTATTTTCAACCAAGCCCATGCATTTAAGAGAAATTTAATTTCAAGAAGGGTGGTGGAATTTCTAACCAACCTAGTTGAAATCCATGCCCCTGGTATCATGTCAGGAACTCCCACAAGTTTAACATACATGAATTTAAACAAATGTAAATGTGACATCAACCACAGTCTAGCAATATTTAAGTTTACAATCCATAATTTTATACATGCCTTGATATAAAGGAAAAGAGGAAATACAACTCTTCACTTCTCGGGGACGAGTTCACCTCACTGGTAGTAGCTACCTACTCCGCACTACTCCTCGCGTCGCCTGGAGGGGTTTAATACATTTGAAAACATAGAAAAATGAGCGGAATGCCTAGTAGGACATAATCTTATAAAACATAATAAATAAGGTACTCACGGTCTGAAGATATACACCCGGAACCGATCATCCTTTTTTTTAAAGGAAATACTCACATAGTAGTATAAAATATCTGTAATATAAAAGTGTGCAGATCCTCATATCACTGAGCAAGGAGTGGTAAAATGTCTGCTTAGTAAAAAAGTGCAGAGCCATAATTCCACTGAGTAAGAAGTGGATCCATACGGGTTTCGGGACTTGCCCCCAAGGATATGATTCCCATATCCCGATCTCTGTGGCCACCAAGCGTTGTATCATTTCTTAAGATATTTCATTTTAAGAATGATACTCTTTAAAATCTCATTTTCAAAATCGTTGGAAAACTTAATAGCATTATTCATGCTATTTCCTTTAAAATCATTTTCTTTCAACATGTTTTGTTCTAAAACATTTTCATTGGCCAAAATCATTTAAAGTGAGGCTAACAAGGATATGGACAAGAATATCCTACCTTTTTGGATGTCAAACCTGTGGATATCTTCACGTAACCCTAGCTCCGCTTGCGTTAAAGCTTTAATACTCAATCTTCTACACTAGCTTTATGACAAAAACAGTGTCTTAGGATATATTTCTCATTCCTAAAACGAATTGAGCTCAATCATGTTTAATTGTTTCCTATTAGTGTGCCTTGACTCAAATCCAAGTTTCACAAATGATTTTATAATTCAGTTTGGGGGTTCTTAAAAGATTGAAATCTAATCCATGGGTTTGGTTTCCTATTTAATTTTAGTTTAAAAATAAGTTTTTAAAGAAAATTTGGTAGCATGCTGGCATAAATAGGAAAAATGCCAAACCTGCAGTTCAAGTCCAATTTCAAAATGAATTATCTAGAATCCATCAAAACTAGTTTCCAATCAATTAAACAAGTCCAATAACAGAAAACCCCCAAATTTTATTCAATTCTAATAACAATTTTTTAAATCCAAACCCTAACTCAAAATTATTCAAATCTAACCAAAATTAAACTTTCTCAAGCTTAAAATTCGAATCAAAGAGTGAGTTTTAAGAGGTTTTACCTCAAATTAGTTGATGGAGCTTCGTTGCCCTCGGTTTCTCTCATTTACTTTTTCTTTGTGTCTCTCGGCCAAACTGCCGAGAGAGATAGAGAGAAAAACCCAGAGAGAACAAGGGAGAGAGAGAGAGAGCCCAGATGAGGTGACCGGTGGTGGAAGAAAAGAAAGAGAGGGAGGTGGCTGGCGGTGGGCGTAAGAGAACCAGAGGAAAGTAGAAAAAGAAAAAGAAAGAAAGAGAGAGAGAGGTGTCTTGG